GTTAGATAACTTTCTATTTTATTATAATTTCAAAGCTAAATGTACTTAAAATTTACTTCACCAAAACAAAAATTGTCCTCGTTATTTACTGGAAAGTTAATTTCCATGCACTTTATAAAATAAACCATTTTTTTTTTAAATTTGTATAATTCAATGTCAAGTGAACACAAGTTTTATTTGTACTTATAAAATAATGTGAGGACTAAAAAAAGTAACTAATAAAGTCTGCTCTTTATTGGATGAAATATGTCGATAAAAAAAGAAAAGAATAACATTTTATGGTACATTCATTAACTTTATATATATATATAGATCTTTGTATAACTAGAAATAAAGGAAAGGATATACTTTCCCCTAAGCAAGTTCTTGACGTAGAGAATTTGAATAATAATAATAAATGTAAAATTCTGTATTATGTATCTGTAGTTAAAATTAGAAACAATTTACAAACTTTTTTGAAGGTATTCATCAAATAAGAATGTAGCAACAGCATAATCTTGAGCTGACGATAATTTCTTCAGTTCAGTTACATAGCCAGCCAGTTCTCGTACACGTTCAGTATGCGATTCTAAGAACTGTTCGTCGATGTAATGAGCAATTGCTGGGTCATGACTGTTATGCTCCTGTGCTTTCTTATGAATTCTGAATGCTGCATCAGCAAGTTCTTTAAGAATATCAAGTGCTCTACTTAAGCTGGGGAGCTCACTTAAGTCTAAGCTACCCTGTGATACCTAATGGAAAAACATCATAAAATGAAATAATATTTTTTCAATAAAATATTTTACTTTTATTAGAAAAAATGTAAATTTACTTACATTTGCACTCAACTGCGATGGTTGTTCGAAGTTCATTGAACCACCACGGTTAGTGATATATTTCATTACATCAACTGCATCATCCCACAATTTGTCAGAATGTTTACGATATAATTTTTTGAACCCTTCGCGATTATATTCGTAGGTGCCAACATAACTCGACATGAATAAAAATTTGAAACTGGTTTCGAGATTAGCCATTGCGAAACTTTGTAAATTGACTTGCACATCTTTAATTGATCCATATACAGCATTACATTCTGGTAAACGTATGTCTGAGCTCTTATTAGCACCATTCGGAAGGCAAGCAGCTTCTGTTGCTTTATAACAAACTTCTGCAGATGTAACTGCCAGAAGAAGCGATAATATTCCAAAGAACAACATTTTCCTATAATTTTAAATAAAAAAAAATAGAATTAGATTATGATCAATTTGTTATTGAAAATAATTCTTTGAACATAATTCCATGTATGTAAAATGCATTACTTTTGAAAACTTTATAACTCAAAAATTTGATAATAAATATACAGTATATATTTCATGTATCAATTGCAATTAAAAACATAAAAAAAATGATTAAAATAACTGAAGGAAATACATTAAATACATGTAATTGTTAAAACTGTGTTAAATATTAAAAATACCACGTACGAATTTAAAATGTGAATGAACTATCTATATACAAAATAATAAAGTATACTTGAAGTATTAATTGCATTTAACCAATAACAATTTATTGGCTTGAATTCCCCAACGTTAATGCTAAGATAAAAGAAAAATTCGATAATTGTGAGTAACAGATTAGCCTAATTACTAATACAACTACAGTGTAATCTAAGCTGCAAAATAAATGTTGTTGGTGAGGGATATAATCTATAGACGTCACAAGTCTCTATCGAAAAATTCGTGCTGCGTGTAGATATCAAACATTGCACAAAGTATATCCACCGTTGTTGCATTGAAATGCGCAGTACCTTCTATATATTCAGTGAAAAGTAATAAAATAGAAAGAATATTATATGTACCGCGATCCTATTGATTTTGACTTCCAAATTATATTCAGAATTTCGTTATCCATGTTATAAAAAACATAACGAAGTTAAATTAATCATGTTACATACCCGTTAAAATGATGTACTCGTTAAATGGAAGCAACGTGAATACTCTCGTTTCGACGTTCTTCCAACAATGAACATTGAAAAGCACGGTCCGTTGGTAGTTTTAACACAGTCATAGTCAGCTGATAGGTAGAACGCATGCGTCGTAGAAAGGGACAGAAAATTCCAGTTACTCCTTGTTGATTAAAGTACGTACGAATGGTACGCATTTGTTGGCCAATTATTAAATGATCGATAGCCGTACATCGTGTTTAGTTCACGTACGTTCTCTTATTTAGCTTCACTAAAAGCAGCCTTCTATACCAGTGCGTATAAAGGTTGCTCCTTAAACAGGCAATTAATAAGTACGCTCTTGTGATTTTTCAAATAAAATTGAAAGCAGTCACGATGAGGCTGCATTACGTTTTGCTCGTTATTTTTCTTTACGCCGCTGGATCACTAGCAGATTCCCTTTCATGTAAGTTTATTATTTAATTTTTATATTTTTATGTGTTTTTTGGTATGTCGCGAAATGCGTGACGTATTCTTGATGAAATATCAAGTTGAGGTTAACTTTGTGTATCTGTATATGCCTCATTGTCTTCTATCCTTTGTTTTCAAGATCGATGTCTTCGGAATGTTTATTTCATATTTTCAAAGAAAGGTGCAAGACGTAAATACGCAGAACGGTTATTGCACAACACATAAATTTAACCTCGTATTATACTTTGTAAACAACTAGCTTTTTCAGTACTGATGATTTGGCATAACATATACATAATAGAATTTAATAATAATAGAATTTTTTTATTATATATAATATTATATTCTGCTATACATAGGGGAACTATAATTCCACAAATACTCTGCATAGAAAAAATTAGATGACCTTTGTAGCAAAGACTACTGATTCATGAATGTAAACATTGTTACAGTTTCCTCGTTATTACTACATTTAAATCCTCACAGTTTACTTTATGTAGTTATTTGCGCATAAACTTTCAGTAACTATTTTTCGTAACCTATTATGCAGTGTACAAAGTTCTATGCAACAATGATTATAATACTTAGTAAGTTTCCACTTAGTCATTTTTGCAAGAAAGAAAATCATTATCTTATTTTTTTTTTAATTCTTTAGCATCATTTCCATGGTTATCAGTGATGATGTGTCGTTTGTGGCAAAAGTTTTATACTTATTAGTCATTGTATGATTTCATAGTTCCTTTGTTCGTTATTCGCATTCGTAGAATTTATCAGATATTTTCTACATTGAAACTGATGCAAGAAAATGAGTTTATGATGCAATCTATTAAATGATATTATCACAGATGGTAATGAAAAAAACTTTGTTACAAAATTCATTTTAAGTTTAAATTCAACTTGTAGAAATGATCAAAGATTATGAATTTTCAATGAAATAAATATATTTAGCTAGTTTATTTATAAAATACATTTTTGTAACATAGTCTTTCTAATAATAAGAATATTTTTAGTGAAGAATTGATTTATAGAATAAATTTGTGATATATTAAAGTATTAAATAAACTGAACTACATACATTTGTCATCCATTTTAATTGAATTATTATTTTAATTTTTTATTTCAAAACTTTTATGGTTTAAACTAACATGCAAAGTTATTTTGTACAAAGATTTAAATTTCTGAAATGTGCCAGTTATTGGTCACTGCTGACGCGTTGTTTCCACACTGATAAGTTTTGATAAGCTTAACATGACAATGTGATTATATTGATCATTCAGTATTCTAAAGTCCAGAATGAATATGTGTGCATGATAATAACTTTTCAAGGAAGTTAGATAGTTCAATTGATATTATTGACCTCCTCTTGTATTATTTCCTTATAAATTTCTCATTATTTTTGTAATATTATTGTAAAATAAAGTATTAACTAATGATATAATATAAAAAAGGAAATAATGAGTTTCTATATTATTACGTTAGAGAATAAAATCTCAGAGATAATACAGGAACTGAAGTGTTAAAAAAATAATGATAATTGAAGCAATCTGGAATTCTCTTTGTAATTTTAGAGATATGGAAGTCTAATCTTATCTAATACGAAAAATTTTCATTACTCCTGATAAAGTTCATAGTACATTTATCATTATTCTTTAATGCTCTAACAATCCCTAATTATTTTTTAATCATATTTTATATAATATATAAATATAATCATATTTTATATAATATATAGATATATAAATTTATTATACTGTATTGTATTTTTAATTGTTATACACCAAACCCTCGATTTATGCGAAAATCCGTTCCACGTGGAAATAAAAGAATTAATAATAATTTAAAAAATATTTTAAAAACAAAAGTACATTTTATTCGATGTTACTAATTTGGATCACATAAAAAAAAGACTCACATAAAAAAAGTTTGCCGTAAATTGAGAATCAGGTGTTAATTTATTTTACTACATCGTATTTCCACTTAATATAAATTTATTTCGCTACATTGTCACCTCAATTGATATTTATAGGTACACATACAAATGCACATGTATCAAAGAACTGGTTAGATATGAAAGCAAAATGTGTAAAGAAGTTAGAGGCTCAGGTTCAAGTTGAAATTGATGCTTCCTTGACTTATCTTGCAATGGTAATTATAATTATTTTCATTACTCTTTAATAATATAAGTTGTTACTCATTAATACTTCTGTTATAGGGTGTTTATTTTGCTCGTGATACTGTCAATCGTCCTGGATTTAGTAAATTCTTTCTGAATGCTGCCAAGGAAGAAAGAGAGCATGCAATAAAAATCATTGAGTACCTGATAATGCGTGGACAATTAAATGAAATAAAAGTCCATATAAAACATCCAGTAAGTATTTTATAACTGTATTTACATTTTTCTTTTTTTTTTAATGTTATATATAAAATACATTAAAAAACTAAAAAATGAAAAACAATTTTAGAAACCAGAAAAGCAAGAATGGAATAGTGGTATGGACGCCCTGAAATCTGCTCTTGACTTAGAAGTAAGTGTCACAAAGGATATCCGTAGCATTGCAAAAATATGTGAAGAAACAGAAAAGTTCAATGATTATCATGTAAGTAAAATTCTTTATACTTTCATGCATGGAAAATAATAATTTCAATTTATTAAATTTCAATTGTTTGATTGTTTGGTTTTAGTTGGTTGACTACCTCACTGTAGATTTCTTGGATGAACAATACAAAGGACAACGTGATCTCGCTGGTAAAATCTCAACTCTAGGTAAAATGGAGGGACACAGTGAATTAGGAGAGTTCTTATTTGACAAAAAACTTTTGAATGGCGAAGTTTAATTTGTTTTTTATCAATGAAGTTTTATTTCGATAAATGTGTAATGGCCATATTTAGAATGAAACAAGTAACTTAGTTCTGTTTAATTTTACATTAATACATAAACAAAAAAAATATATATACATCAATTTTGTTTTATATAGAATATTTTTTTAAATATGGTCTGTAATATAAACAGGTAAAAAAACCCTATTTACAAATATTTGTTAATCTGTAATAAGTATATTACTCATACTAAATAAATAAATATTTTAAGATTCATATAAAAATTGCAATTGCATTTATTATATTTGCTGAATATGTAATATATTGTACATATATACTATTTGTTTAATGCATTTGATGTTGTGTTAGTAAAAGTCTACAATTTGTCTTCTAAATATTGTAACGGTATACTAGTGAACAAAATAGTTATCTATACCAATTCTATCTTCTGAGGAATGTTATAAAATAATACATTTTATTTATGATAAATTTGTTAAAGTTTCGGACTTCTAAATTATGTAAGTTTCTGTAACTTTTAATTTAAAAATGCCAGCGAAAATAGACTACTATGAAAGAAAAGTTAATCAAATGTACCATTAAAAAGATCAAATATATATCACAGAAAATTACCACCATGTGTAAAGGCACATTTTTATAAAATAAATTAATGAAAAGATTGTGAATAATATTCAATTTGATACGTAAGTTATCTTTCTCATTTTTTTACAAACATTTATATTGTTTAATGCATTAAGCATGTACATTTTACATGTTTATTTATTTATTTATTTTTATTTCCTACCTTTTTATGTTTACATATTGTGACCGCGTTATTTATAAATCAAAATTTTACATTTTTAAACATAAACTATATTCCTAAGATAAAGCGAATTTAAAAAAGTGCATCTACTTTTGATGCATTTTTCACGATTAAATTGTCGATAATCGTAAAATTAAATCTCAGTAAAATAATCTTACAATCTTATATTAAAGCATGCAATAACGCTCAGAACGTTGTGCACGTAATTAATTCCACGAACTCGCTTTCGAAATAGTCCGCGTTGTACACAAAAAGAATTTTGAAATGAATGCAGGTCTAATTGGTCAGGTTTTATCTTATCTCATTTTCGATACTAATTTGCTATTCGTCAATACGGTTACAGGTAACCAATCAAATCCATAAACAAAATCTCTAGCGAGAGACCCTTTATTTTGTCTCATTTTCGATACTAATTTGCTATTTGTCAATACAGTTACACGTAACGAATCAAAACCATAAACAAAGTCCCTAGTTAGGCATCCCTCTAACCCTTGTTCCGTTCCGCTAATCTCGTGATAACGCGTAACAGACATCTCTGCGTTAAAATTTCACAGTCCTCCTCAATGTCACTTAATTATAGAATTATCTGCATTTTACATATTATTTTTTTTATGCAAAACAAATTATTCGAAAGATCTTTTATAAGAAAAGGATACATATGCAAATAAAAATGTATGTATCTATATTACATAAATAATTTTCAGCCTTAAACAATTAATTTAAAACGATTCATGAAATCTCATTCATTCATTCATTGGTAAGAACTATAATTAGCGAATTTATATTGCAAAAGTACCGTACAATTTCAATAGACAAATTGAAACATAATGTTTACACAGAATACGTGGACACTTAACATCTATTTATAAAAAGTATGTAGAAACTAGATCTGCAGCTTGATTGTTTTAATCAAATGGTACACCTGGAGAACGACTAATGAAGCGGGACATTTGCGTTGAGAATACGCCAATGACGATTTCCGTTTTAAACTTAAAATTTCTATTGGAATAGTGTCTTTAATTCATAAATACATCTTCGTTATAAATATCGCGGCATGTGCACATTACACGAAATGTTCTTTTATTCTTTCCTTCTTTTTCTCTTTCAGACTTTAACCACGAATGCGTGGGAAACGCGTTTTGCTTACTCGAGAATTCCGAAATTCTTTTAAAGACGCGATCAATCTTCCCATAGGCAAGACAATTAATATCTCGTTTCTCTTATATCTTAATATTTCGCATTCGTATTTAACAATTCGCAAGTGACGATTGTTACGTTACATTCGAAACTAAAAATACAAACGTCTAGTTTCAATTTACGCGTACCGTTCATGCCGATCGGACACGCGTGGTCAACGCCACAAGTTTGAGGGTGGAACGCCGTCTGGCGGCGAGAATCGTCACCACGTTTTCAGGCGAATCGATATTCTGCTCAAATATTGACTTCGCGATTGTGAGTGGTGTCGTAAGCGAGTCGTGCAGTAGACGGCGATGCTCTTTTAAAAAAGGAGTTCTTAGAAGTGATAAGTCAAGTGCGGTTGGGCGGACAACTCATAATCGAAGTATCCTGGATACAAAAGTCACAGAAGATGCTACTGGCGGCTAGTGCTGTGCTTTTCGGGTTGACCCTCGGTCTCTCCCACGCGAGCATCCCAGCCCTCGAGTCGACACCGAGTTCCTTCAACAATCATGGAGGTGATTTCATTTCTCTTTTCTCGTGCCCTACATTTACCTGATCCGTTCGCAGAGTCTTTCCTCTTTTCGAACATCATCCGTACCGAGTTCCCCTTGTCTCTTTCATTGAATCGCGCTTCTATTTCTCGTACGTAGCTGGTGAATCGAATAACTCACAGGTGCAATTGTTCTTTCGGGAGCACCTGCAGTCACCGAAACTGTTATGGCGAATACATTGACTAGTCCCAATAGGTGTTCCGAGATGTGTTTCCATCCGAATCGGTCAATGTGTCATGAACACCGCAAAGAAATTTCAGCTGGACAGGAACACTGATGATGTTACTAGTATTATTGCTTATGACAGCACTAGTCACGCTTTTGTCGCGGTAACAAAATAAATATCAATTAGCTTGGATTTACCGTCCCCTGACACAAAGCGAATTAACATTACTCGACATCGGACGTACTTTAATGATGCTGTTCGATCAGTGAAACGAAGATTCCGATATAATTGTTATTCATAATTTTCTGTACAGTAACCGATAACATTTTGTTATGATAATCTTGTCAAATATTGTCGTATCGAACGGGTATCGATAATTTCCTCTTTTAATCTCTGGCGAAGAAATTTCGATACATATTTTTATACACATGCGCGTATATTCTGTTGTATGCGGTGGTCAAACAGTTACTTTATTTTTTATTGTAATATTTCTGGATGTATGCTTTAAAAATCATCCATTGATGTGTTTGCGAAACTCGTTTCTTTTTATAATTATGATATTTATTCGTACAGGTTTTGATTACGATTTCACTTTTCATCAACGATAGGCAATTTTAATTACTGTTTACGGTTGCCGGGAAGAAAGTGAGAGAAATAGCTCTGTTTACTCAATTGTTCAGAATCCGAACATATGAATTAATTAGAGCGGAGTAAAGTTATACCGTATCCTCTTGATTATGTTAATACATACGGTATATTTATCTTATGGCTAGTTATTGAAATTCTTTTTTTGTTCATTTTAAGGAATATACGTGTATACAGGTTGTTCCACAACAAATGAAACCAAATTTTAGAACGGTTCCTATATACGAGAAAAATAAGAAAAATAGAAAGATATTGAATAATATGAATATTCACGCAAAAAAAATATTCATATTAAGATACGTCCTGTTGGACTTCGTCTCCGAGTTGCAGCGAGTTTTGTATCGTGATTTTTTTCCGACGGAGTAGTTCTGGGATAGTAATTTTATTCAACTATGCACAAAGAGTGTTCGTTATCATACAAAAATAATTAATAATTAATAATATTAGTGACGTTACTAATGGTGGTAAAAAATTATAATAATATTGATAATATTGGTACTATTTTACAGTCATTTCGAATATTTGCGAAGATTTAGTAAAAATCAAATTCGCTGCAAATTGAGAACGAAGTTGCATACGATATACTAATTTACACGAACTTTTATTCTTTTGTTGGTATAGAACCATTCCTAATATTTTTCCCGTTCCTCTATATCAGTGCAATTCGTTTCATGTTGGCAGAAATATTTATTTCCGATATCTTTATGTCTTTCGCCGATTCGAAATATAAATATTAATTCTTGACGCATAAAAACATCAAGTGTTCATGTGCAGTCTGATATTAATACAAGCGATTAATAAGTTGTATAGCGTATTCACGGATTTGTGTATCTTCCGAGCGATTGGTCACGTAAACAATAACGGAACGTAGAGAATTCCGCGCGTACTGTCATCGTTGCGTCGTGTGTATTTTTAATTACTGTCCGATTAACGTCACAATGAAAAATGTAAACATAATTATGCTGTTCAGAATCGAGGATGGTAATTAAAATTGATATTCGTTGTCAATATTCATTGGAATATTTGATCAACGATCGATCAAAACCGCGCTTCGTTTGTCGTTCGTGTTCCCTGTGTTCTAGTCGGATCGTACGTGATTTACGAAGCGTGATTCATACATAGGGGACGTGTATTTGGCAAAAGCGTTCAGGGAACAGTAACGCGAGTAGAAGAGGGAAAGAGCTACAGTAGAAGGGCAAACGGGAAATTACTTAAATATAGAAAAGCATACAGAAGTATGAAACCAAAATGTAAGGAAGCATGCAGAAGTTTAAAAGTAAAATAAAGAAGCATGCAGAAATTTGAAACCAAAGTGTAAAGAAACATATAGAAGTTTAAAGGTAAACTGAAAAAGTATGCAGAAATATAAAACCAAATTATAAAGAAGTATAAAGAAGTTTAAAAGTAAACTAAAGAAGCATACAAAAATATAAAACCAAAATATAAAGAAGTCTAGAAAAGATGTGCAGAAGTATAAAACCATAGAACGAAGATTGTATTAAGATAGAAATGAAAAAATAATTAACTAATGTACATGACAAAGCGAAATTGAGGGAAAAATGAAAGAAAAGAAAGAAAATCTCGCGGATTATTTTGTCAGAAGTGTACGCTAAGAAAGGAATAGAAAAGTTAACGAAATATATGTAAGTTTATGAAGCCTCTCCTCGAATGAGTTAAAGGGGCAAGTGAAAATATTAATGAACATGTAGAAATTAACGTGAGCTACTAAACGATTTGTGATATTATATTTGTTCAATAGAGTATGATATAAAATTATTATTTCTAAAATTTGTAATCGGTGTCCAAAATTATGATCGAGCTTCATGATTTTACATCCTTATAGTGAGCATTATTTTGAAGTAACGAATAGTATAATTAATCGACACACGATTGACGTATTTGTCCTCAGTTATCTGGTTAAGCTGTTTGTAGTGTAGAATTTATGAGTACGATACAAACATTTGCGAATTTCACGCAGAAATACTAGCTTCGACAGCCCGAAAGCTGAAAAAAAAAGAAATCGATGGTTATAAAGTGAACAAAGAAACACCATTAGCTAAGAAATTGTATCATAAACTTATGAAAACATGATAACTTCATTTCTTTAACTTCATTTCCTAGCGAATACTCATTAATGCGGTGAAAGAGAGGAAAAACTTACTTGACACTAAAACCTCAAATGCGGTTATTATAATCCGCTTTTGCTTCCGATACTTCAATTAAAAATAATCGGTTGATTATATTACTATTTAAAAAGAATTGAATATAACTCAACAAATCAGTATACAAAAACTATATTTTTCAAAAAGTATATTATTTATACTTAAAATGGAAGATTCGTTTTCGAGTGAATTACATGATCAGTCGATACTTGACTCTATAATAGATAATGTGAATTACTTGAATCGATATAATAATTTCGATTAGTTAAAAATGCAAATTTCACTCAGTAGTTTCGAGACCAAATTAATCAATCCTTTCCACGAATTTCTCTTAAAATGTTGCTAATTTTAATGTAAGTCATGGTTCATATTTTACGAAACAAAATTATTTGTTTTACACGAATGAAAATCGCTTAAATAGAGGCTGTCGATATAAGGGAAAAAATATTGGAAAGAAAAGCTGATGCAAATTTATAAAATTTATATATGAGCCATAAAACAAAAAGTAGGGAAAAGTAATGCAATAGTTATGTGATGATTTTCAAAATTTCCCTTTAAATGCAAAATCAAATAATCATTAAAGAATGTATTTCACTTTATTATTACAAATACAGCTTCAGTATAACGGGTATATAAAATATATGAAATAGTATATTCTTCAAGTAACTTTTATTACTATTGCAATTTTTATATAGACAAAAGAATTTTTATTATTTCATGGTATCAAACCCAGTCGTAATGAAGTTTATTGTAAATATAAAAATTTAAGAGCCAATAAAATCTTGACTTCAAAAAATGGAGTTAATCAATTCAGCCAGATAAAAGAAATAATAATAATAAAGACATTCTAGAAAACGGAAGTACATTTTATTCGGTGTTAGTACATTTCGATCGCACATAAGAATTACCATGTAAATAGTATTTCAATGTACGACGTAAATCGAGGAACGAGTG